TGAGTTGAGGGCATGACCACACATAATCATAGCCTTACGGGCGTATGTTATCCCATTCTCGTCCCGCTGCCTGTTAAACCTATCCGTAGCTTTCTTTGCTAGCGACAAGAAATATCGTTTTCCAGGATTCTTAATCCTTCCAGATGAATCGGACCATTGGTTCTTCATAATTTGGTCCATCTTGTACTCCTCCCACATCGTTTTCCACTCAACCTTGATTTCTGGATAATAAAAGAGTCACACGGGTGCAAAAGATGGGTCGGGTTCGGAGGAAAATACAGCAATTCCGTGTTGATCTCACGGAGTGCTTTCTTTTGCTCTTCAGTCTGATTGTGTCCACTGCAATTATCCAAAAAGAGCATACACCTTCTTCCGTTTGGAAGACTCCACATAACCCTCCGCTCCCGAAGCCATTGAGGTAGCACGATTGTATCAATCCAGCCTTTCGGCCCAGTGCAATAGGCTACGCCTGGAATATTATCAAGTATACCCCTTATGGGATAGTTGCGATCTTTGTTTTTGAAAACCATGAACGGCGGCTCTATTTTGGCGTCCCGACCTCCACTTAACCGTACAAGCATAGTCATCACCTCGCCCCCAGAAACTACATCGGCGTACTTGATCTCCTCATCGCCTGTAAATCCGAGCGTGGTTCCGTTATCCATGTCGATCACGAAATGCGTTTCGTCGGCATTTTCGACATCATTTTCGTCTATCTGCCTGTTTCTGAATAGTCGAGCGAGATAACCCAAGTGGTAAGCAACTTCCCTCTCAAGCTGGAGTTCCTTGGCTGGTGATAGCTTTTTTCCCCACATTGAGACCGGCATTGAATTCGAAATTTGTCAGCAAACTGTTGCACAAATCGAGGTTTAACCAACTCAATGATAGGCTTGCCAATTGAGGGATCTGTCATATTTGCTGGATACTCGTGTGTATCGGAGTTCTGCAAACTGTACCGGCATAGAGAACCAATATTTCGATAATTGACTCCGAGTTTCCTGAGCCGATGAAACTCTGAGCACCAGTCGCGATAGAGTGAAACCTTCCAAGCCGGGAGTTTACGACCACGACCAACTACAGCCTTGATGCAAATACGTTTCAGACCTGATGAGGTGTTGCAGCAGATAACACGGGAGTGACGTGATGATCGGCTGGAGTCGGGGCTGTCCATCTCAATATATTTGGATCTGTCTTTCCAGATACGCGAAGCCTTGTGTAGATTGGCACTGCTGTTGCCGCGAAAGAGATATGGAAACTGCTTGACTGCACGACTTGAAATGTTCCTAGCACAAAACGGTGGCAAAAGTGCTGCTTACACCATCCACTTGCAGATCCTGATGCGCCGAAATACGCTCAGCACGTGCTGCAATGCTCTCTTTCCGCTATGTGAGCGAGAGAGTACTTCTGCTGGTTCTGCGCTAGCGGCAGGCGCAGAACCGGGAGCAACTGTAGCAGTTAGGACGTTATTCAAGTCAGATTGTGCGGTTTGTCGTGCAGCACGGAGCGCTAATCCCCTTTCAAATGCTGCCAAGATTAGAGATCCTCGGACGGGCATGGTAATGTTGCCGATACTGGGAGGGACGAGGATGTGCGAGTGAGAAGGGTTGTGGTCTCTCTTGGGAGGTGAGTCGTTGGAAGGTGAAACTTACTGTAGGTACGCATGCGCCGACTGCTGAGGGGATCGATCGAATGCCGCTGAAGAGACCATCGCCGACCGCATCAGTCACACACACTATTGGATGCACACACATGAATTACTGTGCGGGACTCTAATTATATTCCCGTCCGCGTGGAGTGTACAAGAAATAGTGTCACACACACTATTGCGGTAGTGACACTAATATTATGGGGAGACTAAATGAGGTAACTGGGTGTAAAGGGGGGGTGCTGAAGACGTCGGACAAAAACCTCAATATTAAAAGGAAAAAGTACTTCTAATTGTCAAACAATCACCGTTTTTTATGTTTTGCGACGGGGACACTGTCAGCCCGTCGTCCAGTGGGACTTGGCCAAAACAACCACGGACACACAAGAGGAGTGAGATTGAAGCACGCGGACACTTTTGCGCCCCAACCGAGCACAAAGATCGGAAATGCAAGCACATTTTCCTCATACAACATTATTTTTTGGAAACAAAATTATTCGCCACGTCACCGATCCCACATCAAACCCGTCACTTTGCTCAAAAATTGTGCCCTTTTCGAAACGTCTTCTGCTTCCTCATAATTACCATACGACGTGCGATGGCTCTCCGCTCTCGAAGCGACCTCACTCGCTTCTTAAACACCCCAATTGCCATGCCAGCAAGTTCCGCTCGCTTCGCCCATCGCGCATTACGAAAGTTTACTGCTTCGGCCTGTGCCCTTTCTGTGCGACGAGCTTTCCGCAAAGACAGTTCTGCAGCCTTTGCTGCTTCCGTCAGCTTGCGCCGCTCATCATTGCGGTATTTCTCTCTCGCTAAATTCATAGCATTAAATGATGTCAGCATCTGACCTCTAGTCGTATCAACAAAACCACTATGACTCAGGTTCACATCAGAACCCAAAACTGAATGACGTATTTCTGTTCGCCGCACTTCCAGCAATTGCTCCAGCTCCGTCACTGACATCATCACCTGGTGCATATGGCTCTGAGGGCGTGGAATAGATAGAAGCTGATGCGCATCTAATGGCCATATACCAGAACGGCGAAACGCAGAGATAATATTACTGTTCGTAAACGCTTTTTTGTAGGCGTACCTCAACATGCTGGAAAATGCGAATGCGTCCCAGTTGTTTTGTTCATCCTTTGCCACGGCCAAATTTATAGCGTCGTTCAAAGCACCCTTAAAAGGAGAAAAAATTGTCACATCCAAAGGTTGTGTTTTGCCTGATGTGTGGGCGGGTAGTGCATAAACGATAACATCATTATAGTCCAACATCTCAAGAGCTGCAAGAGACATGTGTGACCGATACCCATCCAGTATCAGCAACACTTTACGGCCACCTCTAGTCAGATCCCTCACGTTCGAAATAAAATGCCTGCACCATTCTAAGAAATTTTTTGTATCGACGCCACCGCCTTCGGACCTCATTGATACGATTGACCCTCGGGGCAAGCAATCAGCGTATGTCTGCACAGCTTTCATGCCGTCTTGAACCACAAAACGGTATGGAAGCCGCGAGCCTTTAAATACAAACATCGGTGGCACTGTCTCACCGTCTGCGCTCACCGCTGGAAGCATTGTCACCCTGTTTGTGCTCAGAAAATGTCCGATTTTGGCGTCGCGCGCCCCCGCTCTGGTGACATATACACGTGAAGTCTGCTTTCCATTTGCATCTCGCCCGGGTGTTGCGCTTGTTTCGTCACAGTTCCAGATCCTTGGGCTGTCGATGTTGTGCTCTTGAATAATTTTTTCAAGACGAGCAAAATGTGTCGTTAAAGCGTCACCGTTACATGCATGAAATCGAACGGCTTCTTCCCTCAGTGGCTTGGAGAACAGTATCTTGTCCCTGTGGCGGCGATGAAAGTTACGTAGATATCTTGTTCCCGGTGTCCCTCCCTTAAACTTGAGCACGAGGCGACGTGCAGGAGTCATACGACTTATGATAATTTCGATTGCTTCTTTGACAAGTCTCCGCGTTAAAGGTAATCCACGTTCAGCAGAGCGAGTTATGAGATTAAGCACAAGGTCTTCCTCAACTGATGTGAGTGTGCGGAGACCAGCTCGGATTTTTCGAATTCGTTGCGAGGAGGGAGAGGCAGCTTGTATGCGGCTTGCAATTGTGGATCTGGGGATTTGGTGTCGTTCTACTGCTTGCCTGTAGGTTTGGCCATCTGTGACCATTTTCATTGCAGCCATAATGCGCTGTTCACGCGAAGCAGGCGGCATTTTTCATTCGCGAGATGCCAAAAGTGGTCCAGAAGGGCAGGTATAGAAGTTGGAAGTAGTTGACGTTTATGTGTATATCGGAATGCTGTGAATTGAGTTGACAGTGAGTTGGAATAGGTCGAAGGGATACCGGACGAGAATTTGAAAAGTCCGCCTGTTTTGTGTGCTCTGGCTGTTACACTCCTATACGTAAAACGCTGTGCGCAATCGATTGGGATATTTGTTTTTTAATTTCATCCACTTCGTTATGAGATACAGCGCACTTTCTGGCGCTGTTAGGCGGCGGTGCCGCACTTTGGCCCGTGTCGAAGATGTTTCTTACAAATATTTTGCATGTCCGAACTTTTTGTCACTGTCCGACAACACCGGCAACCCCCTTTACAGTACTAGCAAAATTCAGTACTGTAAAGGAATGTGTGAGTTATCATATTATCATCGCTGTGACACTCTTTTCAGTTGGGCCAAAGTTGGGCACCCCCCCAAAATGAGCTGCATTCGAAGTAGTGGGGCCCCTGCCATCTGATTGGCTATCTATCACCAGCAAGGTTGGGCACCCCTCTCTGAATCTTCACGTATCAAACAAAAATTTCATCCATACACCCATTTTACCGCGCGGTAGAATGTCGCCTAGCCACCGCAGCGAGTGCTGACTCGGCGCTGACTCGGCGCGGACTCGGCGCGGACTGCCGGCGGTGAAGGGAAACAACAGCAATGTACATACTGTAATGGGAGTAAATGCGTCATCGGGACTTGATCTGATTCATTGCGCGAGAATTGGCTCAAGGGTGAGGAAGGGCAGCTCTTGGAGTAAAGATAAATGTCATGTCGTAAAATGCTTAACATTTGTCGCTAATTTTTCCGAACTTACATGCTGTACCGTTACAGTAATCCAATGCTCTCCAGCTCCTGCAGCACAATGTGTGTTGGTGTATTGAGGGGCAAACTGTTCACCGTTTCTTCTGTCCATCTTCGTCTCCTCTTTCTGAAAAAAACTGAGGGTCGGTCTCGTTGAGTCAAAAGCAAATCCTCCTTCGTATGATGTATACCGTCTGCTTTCTTCCTCATATTCTCTCTACCGCTTCAACTCTTCCATGCCTCTCCCCGCCTGACCCCCCCACCTTTCTTCAAAATGGCTGCTCCGTGCGCCCTCGCGCCTACATCTGACCCTGTCCCAACCACAAAACCTCCACCGACAGACTCGTGTCCTGATACCGATACAAGCAACCCTGACATAAACTCCGACACTGACCATGACCCTGATTCCAAGCCCTCGCCACTCCTCTCCCTCCTTCTCGAGATCCGCTCCTCCCCAAACCACTCCTCAACTCCCGACGCCTTCGCAGCCCTATCGGCCCCGTACCTCGACACCCCTCCTACCGATCTCTTGTCTGACTTCATTCCCCCCCTCTTCGACCTCATGCTCCGCCACCCCTCACACGTCGTCCTACAAGTTGCTGCCACTCACATCCTCAGTACCATCTCCCATTCATCTCCGCAAGCCGCCCGCACAGTTGCAGACTCGAAGGGCATCCAATTACTCGTGCACACCATGCTCTTCCACACGCAGTCCTTCTCCGTCTCTTTTAACGCCGTCAGAGCCCTCGCAGTGCTTGTTCCCGCCGCCCCAGAGTTGGTCCCGGCCCTCATCCGCCTCTTTGGCGTCGAGGTCGTCGTTGCCGCGGGAAAGACCTTTCTCAAACACGAAGACTTCCAGAAAGTCGCCCTTGCCGTCCTCACCCTCATGGCAGAGGGCGATCATGCCACCGATGTTGCCGCCGCTCTCCGTCGCGGCGGCCACGTCCGAGCCGCTATGCGTGCCATGAAGTTTCACCGCAGCAACGCTGAAATCGCCCTGGAAGCGTGTCACCTCATAGGCCAGGTTGCCAAGAGAGCTGACAAGGGCACTATGGAGCAAATAGGAAGACTTGGCGCCATCCGCATGCTATGTTTGGCCATCGTCGCCTTGAAGGATGATGAGGACGTGCAGTTTTCCGCCTTCCAGGCCTTATCCACTCTTGTTGCCCGCGACGAGTTTTGCGCGAGCCAGCTTGGCTCCATGCGCGGCATTGAGATTGTGGTGCGTGCCATGCGCAAGTTTCGCGACTCTGCCGAGTTAAGGATTAATTGCTTGATCTTGCTGGACATCATGGCTGCTCTGGATGACATGCAGGCCATGGTTGTGTTTACCATTGGTGGACTGGAGGCCATTATCAGCTCGATGATTGAATTTAGACATAATCTTGAAGTACAGCTGTATGCAATTCGGATCATTGACCGTATAGTATGGTGCCGGGAAGACGTTCGTCTGAAGCTTCTCTCAGACGGCAGCATGAAGACCATCAGTGCTTCGCTGAGAACCCATATAACTAATGAAGCACTCGTAGAAAGAGGTGTCAAGCTGCTACGTCATATTCGATATTCGAAGTAATAATATTACTTCGATATTATCAGAAGGACGCGGGAAATATTGACTGATGGAACAGCATCTCCTCCTTTTCTTTTGAGCGAACCTCGATTTCGGAGGCTCTTTTTCCGTCGGCCGCCCGTTGCGTCTTTGTGCAAGATTCTAAAACATTATATCGACATTAATAGGGATTAATGGCACGTATTCTAGCAAGAGGCACAGAGCCAGGCTTTCCCTTGACGTAGAATATTACGTCTAGATACACAACCTTGCCTCTCTCTATATCCCTTGAACACGTCAATTGGAATTCCCACTGCCTCTTAAATCGATAACGAAAGGAAGGATGTGTGACATCTTCACTCCTTGTGTATGCCGCGCTCATTGGCAGGTTTTCTCATCGACTCTGTTTTTCCCTGCGGGCTTTTACAATCGAGTATTCTCTTTTACTGATGGAGAAAGTAATTTTTCAATTTGCAGGCGAGCTTGCACCCACTCGTAGTACAGAATCAGCCGTCACTGGTCCCCCCAATAGGCCGAACACCGCTGCGTGTGATCGTTCACACAATAATTTATGCCCATACAACAACTTGTTAATAAAAACCGTTTACGATTCTCATTGAAATGTCGTTGAAGGGATAGACAGTATCGATACTTATACTTCAAACCACTGGGCCTAATAGTTTTAAGCTTGACGTACAGAAACGGCAAGAGAGGCCGAAACCTCTTCTCGCAGAATGCGCTTTATCTCTAGTTAAGGGGTCCTCTCCGTGGGCGTGTGTGAAGCACACCAGCAACCGTTTCACAACTGTAACTGTATGAAACTAAAAAATCACTGGGAAGCGGGTTGGACACCAAGTTGCGTGGTGGCCAAAGCACAGATTCGGTATAACTTGGACTGTCCTGGTCGGGATCCATCTGAATCGATTTCCACTCGTCTTGGTTAAAGTTTCGCAGGTCTCCAAGCTCTGCTGGCGGCAATTCTTTTGTGACGTAGGGTGGAATCTCTCCTTCTGCGAGGGCCATCCAATCGAGATCCTTAAAGAATGGATGTGCGCACACTTCTGCAATGCCTTGTGGACCACAGCCCAACCGCCGGTCCGGATCAATTTCTATTAGGGCTGTAACGAGAGCCATGGCCTGTTCTGACATGACGTCGCTGTACCAAATGATGGGCTCTTTGCTGTTGAAGATGTTGTCTCTTGCCTCCTGCAAGGAAGCGGCGACACGCGGCGGTCTGCCTATCATAATATGGTACAAAAACGTGCCTAAGGCCCAGAGATCGCATGACATTCCGTATCCCGACTCTTCCAAAATCTCCGCAGCGGCGTACGAAAATGTTCCGCAAACTGTGCGTGTGAGCAAAGTAGATTCATCGAAGACCTTGCACAGACCAAAGTCAGCCAATCGCACAAGGCCTTCCTTGTCGAGAAGAACGTTTTCTGGTTTGAGGTCGCGGAAAACGATACCCGCATCGTGAAGAGCCTTCAAACCCAGAAGGACCTGAGCTGTGATAATGCGGGCTTGGTCTTCTGTGACTCCGCCGCCTTGGACGTCGACGAAGTTGTAGACATCGCCTCCCTCGCAAAACTCAGTAGCCAGATACAGTTTGTCGTGGGTCTGAAAAGCGTGACGAAGACAGACAATGAAATCGGTATGGTTCATATGCTCATGGGCCAGACGCTCGTCGACAGCATGACGAAACTCGCTGGCACTGTAGCCAAAAGAGCCGCCCTTCTTGCTCATGCACTTTAGCGCGAGTTTGCGCCCAGTCTTGGTGTCACGGACAAGAAACACTTTGCCGCTTGCGCCCTCGCCGATGGGAGCAACGAGTTGAAAGTCGGCGAGGCGGGGCTGACGGACAAGGCTGATATCACGCAAAACGGCAGCCCAGAGGTCTGCGTCAGCCTCCGATTTGAGCCTGAGCTGTATGGTATAGCCATTCTTGGCTATATTGACATTGTGTTCGACGGCGCCCTTCCTGTTAACAACGGTATCGGCCGAGGATACAGCGCAGCCGACAGGGCTGAAGATTTCTCTTACAGGGTCGCTCCTATGCATATAGAGCAAAACAACGTTGCCGCGGACCTGGGCGAATCTCTTAACGACATTTCTGCGAAAGATCCATTTCGTGATGGGCCCTTGGGCCAGCCCGGGAGCGGCATGTACCGCAACATAGAGCCAGCCCTCTGCGAGAACGGGCATCTTCTTGATGAGAGCGAGGGGATCGACATGCGCGGGAGTGTTGCGGGTGCGATCGACCCTGCGGGCGCGCATGACGCCCTCCTCACGGAATATTTTGAGGCGGCGCGGGCGGGGGGCCGTGGGGATAGTGGAGGAGGAGTGGGATGCTGGAGAGCGGACTTTTGACGAAGCAGGTACGACGACGACATTGTCCTGCGACGGCTTAGGGGAAGGCGTTTCCGGGAGGGGGAGATCGGGCTCGACGGTGAGGCGGCGGCGTAGGCTGGAGCGCACAGACGCGCGCTTGCTCAGGCCAAGGGCCGGGGCGGGACGGTCGCGCACGGGGAGCGAGTTGGTGGAGTTGGAGGAGGGGAGCGGGGAGAGCGGCGCGGCGTTGTCGTGCGGGCCAAGGGCGGACACGGGCGGGATGGCGGCGGGCAGGTCGTCGTCATGCACGCGCGACTTGGAGCGGCGCTTGATGGAGCGGAGCGAGAAGCGGCGCGGCAGGGCATGCGCGGAGGAGCCGGACAAAGTCGGCAGGGCCAGCGAGCCGGAG